TCCCTATCAATGATAAATTGACGACTTTCAATTGTGTGCCACGAGTGTTCTTCTTTGTCTCGCGAGATCACACGATAGGTCTTGCACACACAGCTATTATCTGCATTCCCATTTATTCTGCTGCGGTTGCGATCCCTATAATCACCGGCACGTTTTCGATATTTCGTTCACGGGTAATGGAGCGCGCGCGTGCGGAACGATATATACACGGGTTATTCATTTGCGTTGTATGGGAGTCATTCTGAATTGTAGGGAATTATCTCCCGTCTCCATATGAGCGACAGCCATAAGCCGTATGGTCATAAGTCTGGTTCTTGAACCAGAACTTTTCACGATTCATTGGGTTTTATCGGATTTTCCAGTAATGGTCTACTTTTATCCGCGCGTAGCTTGCTCTATCGAATGAACACGGTGAGTTTCGTATCGGTAACGACAATTAACCAGATTATAGTTGGACTTTTTCTTTGTGATTCTCTTCGACTTTAATTTTTTTTTTCTAATTTATCTCGCAATAATGACTCCAATAAATTTACCTGCGCTATGCACTGTCAAAATTAGTTGTTTTATGCCTTTTATGGAAACAAAAGATATAACGATGATGTCTCATCATCGTTGCTCAAAGAGCATTTTACGTCCTAGAGAAATCCTTGTTCTTCCTCATACAGCAGTCGATGTCCATTGAATGGAGCACAACGCCAGGCAATGAAGATCGACCTACGCTACGATGTGCAAACATTGTAAATCTCCAACGACGCGTATGCTAACACGAATAATAAGCGAACATAAGAATGATTTTAGCGGTTACGGGGCTGGTGGATGCACGTAATGCACTTTTGCTTCAGGTCTTAAATTAAAGAAATGCATGACGCGGACATTTAGAGCTGATCGCACTGTTTTTCCACGTAAAGCACTTTTAAAGTACATTTGTGAACTGAAGTATCATGCACGAAATAACGTCAACATCGTACAGATGTAATTTTTTTTTTACATAGATATAAACACACGCTTCGAGGTATTCTTTTGTAAAAATTGAATTTTGCATTAATTATGTAAATTATTCTTAATTGTTTTATTAATGATCTTTCGCTTGAAAATTATCACTTGTAATAATGAGAAAAAAAAATATTTGAAGAGAACACTGAGAATGAGAAAATATTTAAAAATACATTTTCTGAAATAATTTTGTTTCATAGAAAGATGCATTTATGGAATTATCATATCAATGCGAGTTAAAAAGAGCAACTGGTGGAAACATTTAAAAGTAGCAGAATATTCTCGCGTTCGTTATTGATGTCGATTACGATGTATAATATATCGAATAGTATCGATATACATACAGACAATCCAATCGGGGAAAACAAGGTCGCGGTAATGATATTATCTGTCTTGTGCCACAGTTTGATATCGAATACTATTGCGACAAGGTTTCATCGAATAAATCGGATATATCTATGAATATAAAAGTCCTTGAGATTTCTCGTTTAATACTATATAAAATTGGATTTGCAGAAATAATTCAAGTCCGATTCTTTATATTGAACTGAATATAGACGTTTATGCGTCTTTGATTAACACAGATAAAAAGAATAACAAATGAAAAAGGCGAGCGAACTTCGCGATTGTTTTGGTACATTGCCATCGATATTTTAAAAGCAAGATATTGTACTTGTTTTTCTAGTAATCAGCGGTTTTGCTAATTGGGATCAGATATTTTGTGAACAAAAATTATCATTAAAACAATACAATGTATTAAATGTTTATCTCGAATCGTTAGATAACTTCGTAGATTTTGCTCTTAATTTTTCTTTTAGATGAATTTTATCTATCTTATTATTTAACTTTATTCTATCTAAGAATAGATTTTTTTATGGAATAAAAATGGAAGAATAGAAAAACGAATTGCTAATTAATTAATTAATATTCATATTTTTGTAATTTGAATATTTTCTGATCGTAATAATATTACGCTTATAATATTATGAAGCATTTTGTATACTTAATTTTGTTAACTTTCTCGACTTTCAACGAAT